CATATTCCCAACTTCTGTCAGTCCACTATATACCGTGATCTATATCCAATGTTGTCGTTAAGTAACCGTCCTCATATTCAACTTGGTTGACTCCACTGGTCACGAATTCTCATCGAAACTTCGCGAATCACTACTCAATGAGGATTATAATTATTCGATTTGGGGATTTATTTGTCGATTATAGGTTGGTACTCACTGATGAATGGCAGTAAGTAAAAAGCTTAAATCACGCCTCATTTCTTGACAATATCCTCTAATAATCAAACACTGAATGAAGTGCATACAGATGATTGGTTTTTCAGCTTTTTCACCACTTCGCAAAATCTATCGATAGAATTTGTCCAGCACTTGGTAGTGAACAGTATGATGTTGGTTACTAGCCGACAACCAATCAATGTAAATATTCTTCTTGAGGTGTTTAAGAGACATATCAACTTTCGAACTACAATTTGCATAATGGACTTACAAATTACTTACGAACTGCACAGTTCATGTTGAAATTTTTCACAATTGAAATTTTTTTCAGCTGGTGTCGGAAACTACTCAATTAAGATTACTAAGTGTAATCTCTGACATAGAAGTGCTATAATGAGCTTGGTCGCAAACGAGCAAAATAGCCATCTAACTATTCAACTTATTCATTAGTACATTTAATAACTTACAAAGTATGTCAGTTAGAAGTCGACTGAGCCTGATCTAAGTACTAAGTGACAGAAATGTTAATAGTTCCATAGACAAGAGTGTTCCTTTTTCTGCAAAGTACTCAATAATCTAGGGTTTACTCCACGTAGTCATAACTACATATTATCCACCCAACAACACACAAAAAATGAATATTTTTCCACTTAGATTTACTGTATATCTATTGAAAAGGGAAGGATACTTAGCTTTTACTTCTTTTTGTTCGAATTGCTGACAAGATACAAAGGAAAATTTTGATAACTAATGTTCCGATAGGTAATCTACACTTCTGTCTATAACATTTTTTAAAATGGTTATTGCATAGTTACTTATCTCCAGTTGACTGGTCCCCAATGCTTGCTTACCCGACAACTTGAAAACTGTAGCCATCGACTAAAATGACTCAACATACTTAAGCAGTATCTATTCAATAATAGACAGTCAGTTATACGTATTTAACAGGAAACCACTGGTTGAGTCACATTTCTTGCTTAAGAGATAGTAACCAAGTATGCACATGCATAACTTTGAGGTTGATAACGTTTTGGATAGTTAGACAGGTAGATAAGCCGGTACCAATGAATAATACATACAGAAGGATTAGTAAGGGAAGTGCTTCACGTGAATTAGTCAGTCTCTGCTACCTCAGTAATAAAAGATGTTCTAATTTAAAGATGATGATCACAATCACCGTAGAATATCGGCGTTAGAATCATGAAACTTCTAACTTTTCTACGGTTATGTATTTATCCAAACACAGGGAGTTACTGAAGTCTCAAAGAGTTGAAGCGTTTCTCCACTCAGCATAGTTTTTAGTTTAAACTTAACAATAAAGATGTTCACACACTGAACATGGAGTCACCTTCTTGGGATTTAGCACTCCGACAGGCAACACAACATACGGAAAAAATTTGCAGTACACATTGGTGAACGTTATTGATTATCCACACTCTAAAAAGACATTATCCTACAGTTAATGCCGGGAAAACCTCACCTAGTTTTCTAGTGCACTAGTTACTAGCCGGTCCTAAGCTCGGATAAAGAGGGAAGGTTGCGCATACGACTACCAACCCTAACCCAGAAAACCATTCCAATCCAATAGCTAAGCACACAAAGAGAGTAAATAAACATATTCCTCTCTAAAATTGGAGAGATGAAATGACGTCAGTTGGTGAAAGCCTTCGGGAAACCAACTGGCCAATGTGTCTTACGTCTTCTCTCTATGAAAGGTAAAAGTAAGGATGGGGACATGGAATGTCCACACAACGTTTGAAGTCGGCTGGCAAGGCTGTCCACACTGCACAAGAAATGAGAAGATTTATACGTGCTACTTACGCCCTATGTTCCACTAGGAACCCAAAGGGTAAATAATAATAATAATAACAGTAGTAGTAGTAGTAATAATAAATAACGCTGAAAAACTCATAACTGAGCGTAAGATTGTACTGGGTGAACTGAAGTAGGTTGAAATCAAAAGTATGACAGAAAGCACTTCTTTCATGACCCGATTGATAATTGAATGGTTCAATAGGCATATAGAAACTTATAAGATAAGAAAAGAGACAAGCTATACCCTTACTTATCTTTGTGTAATCAACACCATATACGGGAATCTTAGGTTGCTTAGAATTCAATCTTTAATACACTTGATTGCGTAATTCAACCAACTGATATCAGTAAGATTCATTAAATTGGATATAAAAGGCCTGGAGGCATATCCACATGCACGTACGCACACACATACACACACACACACAATAAAAAGTGGGTTTTTTTGCACTGATGGCCTTTTCAATACCCGTGCCTAATTATAATATGACAGATATTTTGAACAAGTCTTTAGATGTTGATTAGTTCAATCTTGAGAGGTGGGTTTTTGCTTGAAGCTGAAAGAAAATATGTATATGGTGGGATTCGAACCGGCGGCGTTACCTGCGCTAAAAATAAAAAGACATAGAAATTAAAACTAGATGCTTGTCTACCTAATAACTTCATGACGAAAGAGAATTTTAAATTCAATCTCTTCTTTCTAGTTGTTCAGTTGTCAGAGAGGAATGATGGATTGTTTCATAGGTCAAACTGTTTCAAATCAACATTTCCAACTTCATTTATATGACAAGAAATGAGATACGGATCATCTTGTCACATCAAGGATGTATCATTTCAGGTTAGAGTGAAATCTGACACACTCTTAACGTCTCGAGTCAGAAACTGATGTCGAATATAAATCATTGTTATACACATCCACAAAAGAAGTTCTATATTCTAAGCAGTTTAACAAAGGGAAAAAATGTATAAGTAAAATTTGGCCACTGTGATAGAGTATAGTTCCCTATTAGATTGCTAACTTGATATAGAGCACAGTTATGCAGAATTATTTATTGACTTGACGACAATTTGAGTGTAAATTATTCCTCATAACCATGACAATATAATCATACCACTTTCCATATCTGACGATTTCATAAACCTATCAATTCATATTGTTTTTACTGGTAGCAAAACTTTCCTATGTCTCTGGTAGAGATGTTGCTTCATTACCATTACCATATTTGTTGGGTGTGGATTCGATTAACCAGGATTCAGTGATGAATCTCTCTCTCCACGTAAGTATACTGGAGTTAAGTAGGGTGGTTTTATCCCACCTATTGTGTGGTTGTTTGTTAATTCATTCATTGCAATATCCCAGTTTCTGTTCTAGATTATTGATTGTTTTGGTATCTGTTATTCTACATTGGGATAAATTCTAATACTCCTTTAATCTAATTAACCGTGACCAGCTACTCTGTCCTATGTACTTGACATGAGAGGCAATGCATGGAATTTGGTAGATTAGATTATTTTACATCATTTCGCGCATTTACTATGTCTGTAATGACCATAAGTTTAGAATAGTCGATTAAGATCAGACAAATTATCGGGACATAAGAATTCAGCCAAATGTAGGTAGAACATAGGGGTCGAAAACCCAGTGGTCGCTGGTTTGAAGTCGGCCGTCGTCCAAATTTTCATCTCACCTTCAGTCACCACCCAGTATAATTGTAGAATGGCAGACGCCAAAATGATCAATAATCTAGAAAATAAAACTCAGTTATTACAGTTCTGCACTGACCCACAACAATACAATAGGGGCAGAATGTGGGTGGGGGGAATAAAACCACTGTAATTGAGTCCAAAACATAATTAAGTCAAGAGAGAAACTCGTTACTGAATCTTTGTTTATTGAATCGATACTCAACAAATGTAATAGGAATGAAGCAACACCTATACCAGGTATGTGGAGAATTTTATTGCCACTAAAAATGAAGAATACTAATTGATAGCTTTATGAAGTCATAAGATGTCCAAAGTGGTGTGATTGCACTGACATGGTTATGAGCAATAATTTATGCTCGAGACGTCATCCAGCAAATTATATTGTTTCACTGTGTGCTCAGTATCAAACAAACAAAGCATATGTAGCCACCATTTCAGACCTCACAGTGATGGACAGTAGACCTATTACTCCTGGCTGTTAAACATGCGATAAGTTAGAAGTGTCGACTATAGGGTCAGACATTTATTCACGGTTCCCCATTTCCCAGTAAACCTGTTTTCAGTCACTGGTCACTGATATCATTCTTTATCCTAAAGACCACCACCTCAATTCATGAAAACCGGCAACAAGTATTCACAGTAGATTCATTCACCAGCTGAATTCCTAGAAATGCATGTTTGTCGTTGTAGACTATTCATTAATCATATTCTCAGAGAAGAATATATACTTACCGATAAAAGTCATTAGCATCTATCACTTAAAGTAAGCCAACGAAAATTAGATATTAGAATCGTTTTCCGTGACTTAGCAGCTGTTTCTGGAAACAATGCTCCAATCAATTTAAAACTATTATAAAACAGATGCTTAAAACGTTTTGGCATTCACGTGGACAGTGTTTCATCTTGGTATAGGATTCATCAGGAGTACGTATCCATGATCCCACCAGGGAGTGGACCTTCGGATTGGACAGCAAACGTATTAGCTTTTCAACCACTGCGTCAATGGTCAATCCTCCACAGTTTCCTACCTTGTCAATTCGTGACGTGGCGTGACTGCTTACCAATGTTTTCACTTCCCAACCACTTCATTTCTTACCGGCCGATACTTCTAGGCTCTTAACTTTCCTCCGACTGGTATCAGTCCATGAGGAATACAATCATGAGATATACTTTTTTGCATGTATGTGTATTTAGTTGGTGCATTTGCATTTGCAATTTATATTAAACAGTTAGAAAGCTGAAAGTTCACATGGACATTTTTGCTTCTCAGAAATCTGTGCTGTTCACCTACTACTACTACTACTACTACTACTACTACTACTACTACTACTACTACTACTACTACTACTACTACTACTACTACTACTACTACTACTACTACTACTCACACTACTACTACTACTCACACTACTACTACTACTACTACTACTACTACTCACACTACTACTACTCACGCTACTACTACTACTCATGCGAATAATAGTAATGATAGTAATAGAAATTCTGTGTTCTACACAGACAAAACCTAAAGTTCATGAAATAATTCTCACACCTTTTTTGCTCATTTTACTACGGTCATAGTATTTAGGTTGCGCAGTCTTTTTCTTGATGACCGTTAGATGAAATCATGCCATCCTAACCATCATCTTATCTTGATAGTTTATCTTCTGTCGTTTCATTCTATGTCTATCATGTATAATTATCAAATAATAGTTCATTTTTTCGTTTATATTATTATTGATGGTGGTGGTGATAAGGATGATTGTGTACTTGAAGAATTTGTTTTACCTTCAGTCTGAATCACATGACATTCAAGGTCACTAATACATGTGTGTATTTATTTTTGATTTTCCAAACACTCTGGGATTATATTAAAACTTACTTGTATCATCCGTATGTGCGTATTTGTTTACTGTGATGTGTTTGTTTCCCTGGAGTCTTTTTTTCTCGATTCACCCTAATCTTTCGTTGTCAATAAAAAGATATATTCAGCGAAACGTTTTTCCTGAATTCACATTATTCACAACCTTTTTACCGTTAATACGATATTATAGATTAAGGTGAGAATAATTAGTTTTGGGATTTATGGGATTAATCTACGCTTAAAAAGTGAGGTATACGATTTTCAGTCGATTAGAATCCGTACGCAATCGATGTGACTAACTTCCTTGAATAGAAACCTGATCCCGATTGTTGAAATTTTGTATTTCCATTAAAAAGGTGCTTCATCGAGTTGATGAAAAGTTCAACATGGTTATCTTTTGAGATAGCTAATTAAGTTTCACGAAACAGTTGGAACCAGTTGTTGATAACTTCAGACTAGGAAGATTGAAATCTGTTACCCTGGTGTACATGTATTCAAGCTTCATCTTCAACATAAATCTTCGATATCTTATCAGTTCGCAGATTTTAATTCCCGTTCTTGTTTTTTCTTTTGATTTTCTCACTTAACCGTTTACTACTACTACTACTACTGCTACTCACACTGCTACTACTACTATCTATATCATTGATGTTATTAATTTTATACTCCATTTCTTGTCAACTCTCCGCGCTGAATACATCCAATGTCGTTACTTGAATGAATAATAATTCCATTTGGTATTCTTTATCGACACTTAATTTCTGTTACCATACTTGACCATAGTCGGTAGATGAGCTCCTACATGGAGGGCTTGATACTGTCTGAATATTCATCATGTAGTAAGAAGCACGCTTCTTTCAATTCGTGACTTGTCATCAATTAAATTACAACACAATGAATATTCAGGCAATATCCAGGTATCCGAATAGGAGCCCATCTGTCAACAGAGGTTGGGCAATTCGACCCTGTATAGCAAAATGAAATAATAATTATCAAAACAAGAAATGGAAAGGTTTACTTCTATATTTAAAGTTTAGAAAATAAGATACTTTGATAAGATGACTACTAAATTTAGTAAATGATAATCTTCATGGTTGAAGATTAGTGTGAAAAGTTCTAATCTGTAAAGTGCCTCTTTCCTTTGGGTAAATGATGCTATCAGTGAGTTGATTCAATCCAGACGGATGAACTAGTACTATAACTTCTGTCTGATGGACAAACAAATGAATATCAAACTACATGTCTAGATGTTAGTCGGATGGAGAAATTCTGCAGGAATCCCTTCCAGACCTAGGTTTCATTCTTGTTGGCACTCGTCAGCAAGGAGTATTTGCAACCTTGATGTAATTGATGCCTTGCCAGAGACTCGAATTCGCGTCACCCAATCTTGTAGTCAGCGACGTTACCACAGCTATTCGGGCCATTGCTGACCTCCTACAGGAGGTCGATAGAATTCAGCCAGTACTTAGGACTAGATAACAAGAAGTTGGTTATTCTGCAGTAATTAATCAATTTAAACTACATGTCTACTATACCTTATATAAATAAGATCATCATCCCTTTCTTTTCTAGCTATATATTGTCTTGGACAAGACTTTTATTTGTATTCTACTTGGTTGGAAGTAAAACGTAGACAACCTTGTTTGACTCCAGTTTGGTGGTTGTTAGCATTCGTTAGTGAGCCTTACATACAACCTCAAGTGGAGCGATACACCCTTAGCGATTTGAGACTCCTTCACTCAGTGCTGAAGTTAAAGTGATTCCCACTCAGCTGTCACTTTAGTCAAAGCAAAAGAAACCACATTTGTGGAAGGAAAAATTAATTCATACTATATTACGTCTACTTCTCAAATGAAAACAACCTAAAATGTGTACTGTGTAAGTGGAATGGAAACTTACATTTTTGCTGACATTATAAAATAGAAGAATGTTTAGAATAAGGAAGAAGAACCGAGTGAAGTCACCCTTTATTACAAAGCCTGTCTGTAAATTATGAACTTATAATTGTCTAAGGTGACTATAGAAGATTTTACCGTGAATTTTATGTGAAAGTTGTAATGTCCGACTATGAATAAAAAAGGTGAGGCTAAAAGCTATCCCTAAGTGTTGTAGTATGTGAAACTACGTATATTCTGTATTATGTAAGCATATATTTCGAGGTAAAAACTTTAATCATAAATCCTTTTTCTTGCAGTTTGAAGGCTGAATTAACTTACTTTGATTTATGAGCATCATTCTTCATAAATAAATGTACTCACATCCCAACTAGGAGGTGGAAGTGTGACACTGTACATGAATAAACGACATGAAACATTCAGTGACAGAGGGCATTTTACAAACCATACAAATAGGTGAGTAAGCATGGAGCATAGAGAAATACACATAGAACGCGACTTCTCGTAACAAAAACCATTTGTGGACATCACACTCCAGGTCAGGTAGTCAAGTGGAACCCAAATGGGAAACGATCATTTGGGCGTCCAAGGATGACATGGAAATAGTGTGAGGAAGAAATGAAGGGTTATGGGCAGTGGTGCGGCGAGGTTGAAAAGACTGCATAGAAGAGAGTGAAATGGAGACGTGCTACTGAAGCCATATGTTCCAATGGGAACCCAAAGGGAAAAAATAATAATAATAATCCCACCCTAATGTGCGCAGTTGTGTACAGATCTACAGTTGGTTCTTTTTCGAAGTTCCTTATCGTATTAAGATCTACTAATCATTATTTAGCTGAGTTTTTGTGCTCTGTTATTCTAATCAACCCAGGTCGACTACTTTGACCTATGTATTCGACCTCGCAATGATTGCATTGCATTTGGTAAACCAAATTATTTCACTTAACTGAATCAATAGGATCTTTTAACCTACAAAGCTTGTTTCTAAGCGAGTTTCTTGATTTGAATGGCACTGCAATCCTCAATACCCTTATTGAGAATTCGTCGCAACACAATTGAGGCTTTGAATTCTCTCTCAACACTGTTACAATTTTCACTACTATTATTACCACTCACTCTTAGTAGAATTATTATTAATAACATGTGTGTTACGACTACCACCGCCAACCCTTTTGTTGAATATTTTTCCACATGAACTCGTTTATAAGTTGAGATGGGTAATTATTGAGATATGAGGTATTCTTGATGTGTCTACTCTCTCGTCGTGCATTTTCTGGCCTACTACGAAGCTATTTTGTCATATACTTAGACACTTAACTTGGTAGTACCTACTTTAACTGAGAGAGATGGGGTGAGATGATTTGAAGTCTAATTAACGATTCGAATGTGAAGGTGTCCGATAGACACTAGTCTCTAAACTTGCATCCTGCTCTCGTTGAATCTCCCAGTTCAACATTGCTAGCTCACCTTCATCGCCTGTTGTGTCACAGGTGAATTTGATTGCGTCCACTTCTAAAATGTATGCACGTGTTGAGAACCTATTGATGTGTTCCGATTTGAGAAGTGTGAATTTGTCATGTGTGTATCGGAACCATGGATATTATTTGAGTGGGACTGAATGTTTGAGGATGCATGCATTATCAAGTATGCCTGAATGTTGAAGTTCCGATGGATGATATTGTTGATGCCGCGGGAAGCAGTTGAGTTTGTTGATATACTTTGTTTTGAAATTGAAACTGAGGATGTCATGTGTGATTGTGTTTGCAGTATGATTTCATTGATTATTATTATTATTATTATTATTATTATTAGTCCCTTGGGTTCCTAGTGGAACATAGGGCTTCAGTAGCACGCCTCCAGTGACCTCTGTTCTCTGAGATCTTTTGAACCTGGTTCCACGACAGCCCAGAAGCTCTCATTTCCTCCTCGCACGACCTCCTCCATGTCACCCTCGGACGTCCAACTCGTCGCTTCCCATGGGGATTCCACTCGAGGGCCTGACGCGTGATGTCCTCAGTCGGCCTTCTCAGTGTATGCCCAATCCATCTCCACTTCTTCCTGCATATTTGTTGCGTGATAGGTTCTTGGTTGGTTCGTTCCCAGAGTTCCTTGTTGCTTATTTTTTCTGGCCATCTGATCTTCAGCAGCGAGCGTAAGCAGTTGTTGATGAATGTCTGTAGTTTATTGGAAATGCCTTTCGTGACGCGCCAAGTCTCTGAGCCATACAAGAGCACTGACTTGACGTTGGTGTTGAAAATCCGTATCTTGTTCCGCATGCTGAGTGCAGAAGATCTCCACACTGGTTTCAGGCTAATGAATGCCTGTCTTGCTTTTCCGATTCTGACTTTGACGTCCTCGTCCGTCCCGCCTGTAGTTGAAACAGTGCTTCCTAGATAAGTGAAGGAGGTTACTTCCTTCAAGTTTCTCCCGTTGACGGTGATTGGAGTTTGTTGTTGTTGTTGATGGTGGTGGTGCGGTATCTTCATCACTTCTGTCTTCTCTATATTCACCTGAAGTCCCGTCTTAGCTGCCTCCTCTGTCAACTTGTTAGTTTTTGCCTGCAGATCTTCAAGTTTATGTGACATTAGGCATAAGTCATCGGCGAAATCCAAGTCTTCTAGGTTCTTTTCCGTCGTCCAGTGTATCCCCCTCTTCTCGCTGCCTACTGTTTGCTGCATGATCCAGTCCACCACAATAGGAATATCATGGGGGA